ATCACACTTTTGGAATCATTAAGGGTTATTCCATAATCGCGTGCTGCTACCATAAACTTGTTTAGATTTTTGTCGTGTTCCTCCTGAGTTTTGCCGCAGATAGTGACATTGTCAATGTAGGCAAACGTGCTTGTGAGTTGTTCTTTACTGATCAATTCATCGATAATGCGTTGAAAACAAGCTACGCCATTGGTAACACCAAAAGGAATTCGGCAAAATTGGTAAAGTTTCCCACAAGCCTCGAAAGCAGTATATGGTTTATCTTCGTTCCTTAGGGCAATTTGATGATAAGCATTCTTCAGATCAAGAGTGCTGAATATGTCATATTGTGCGATTTTTTCTATCATTTCGTCAATCCTAGGTAATGGGTAAGCATCCAGAAAAGTGAATCGATTGATTGTCTGACTATAATCAACTACCATCCTCTTTTTATGGCGTTCGTTTGACGTAACAAGAACTTGAGCTCGCCAAGGAGAATTAGAAGGTTCAATAACACCTTCTTGCAGTAACCGGTTGACTTCGGTGGAAATAAAACTTTCATCTTCACGAGAATAACGCCGGGATTTTATCGCGATCGGTTTACAGTCTTTTGAAAGATTTTCAAACAGAGTAGGCAGTTCAACATGACGCACACCTGCCCACGCGGCAGAGGATCGAACCTCGGACCATGTGCATGGTCGGCGAGAGTCCTAACCACTGTGCCACCGACACTGTCTCGTGGTGAGATATATCCAGCAAATGAATTACTAAGAAATGGAGTATTCCTTACAATTCGTTTGCCCTCTCAGAACCATATTTTTACAAGAACTGACTGGTAGCTCCCAAACATATATATATATGCGTAAATTATTGACCACTGTCTTTAATTTAGTTATTTTGATGTACACAGATTGCTGCAGTAATCTAGTTTACTAAATATATCTGTCATTTTTTATATCGTTTGCCTACATATAAGCATTAGTCAATAGAGTATTTCCCTATCAGTATGGTGTTACTCAGTTATATTTTTAACGGTTGCATACATACACTCAACTAATTACCACCTCTCTCTCTCTCTCTCTCTCCTAAACGTACAATAATACTGTGTCTGAACATAGGGAACTCATCTTGGTCGGTAAAACTAAATAGTAAGTGAACAGTTTCCTTTTATCCCTATAGGTTGATACATGAAATCGATTCATGTATTGGGTAAGTGTTATGAGTGAAAGTAGATATCTGTGATTCAGTGGTTGATTGACAGATTCAAAATAGAACTTAGCATAGAAGTGTAGCAGTTCAAATTGTCACATTCTATATTGTACACAAAGATATCCATAGGTGCGAATTTCTTCATTTCATTTATTTCCTTTTATTCATTACTTTAAAACGCGTGATACTAGAGTAACAATAATCATACTAATGGTTTAGCAAAGGCCATTATTATATGTGGATGTAGCTCATTGGTTTAATCACTTGATTTTTAGGCATTTGGTCCCGGGCTCGAGTCCCACTCCACTTATTTCGGCCTGGTCAACGAAGTGTCTGACTCACCGGAGTTCTAACCAACTAAAATATATTAGGAATAAGTAATCATAACAGTTATGTGCTCTGTCTTGTCACTATCCACCTTGATATAGCGAAAATTAACATAAACTTTGACTCTTGTTTGTCGTCAAAGTACCATTCAGTCGTGTGATAAATAATATACATTTATTGTGTAAACAGTAGAAGCTAAACAGTACTCTGGCTAATATATGTTTCAGGATAGAAATCTAAACGGTACCATAATCGATTTCATGACCTCATATGAACTTATTAGAAACCCATTTGAAAAGCAAAAAAATTGAGAAATCAATCGGTGAATACACATAGAATAGCTTGCTGGAGTCACACCAAAACTTCCGCACATTTGTGCAAAGTTCTATGTCGAAAACAGACAGACAGACACCAAAACTAATTATTCACCTTCATTTATCATATCTGTGTTAAGCAGTTGTGTGTTGCATAAGGCAGGTATCACACTAAAATGATACTACTAAAAATGAATTCAAAACAAAAATGAACAGCTCACTCAAAAAGTTCCTGTATCATTAAATAACAATACTAATTCATACATGAACATGCAAAGCATAATGAGCTATATAGGTACTCTATTAGTTGGCTAATGATGACTAGCTACGGAATCCAGCAGACACGTTGTTTCGTGCTATTTGAAACTCGTCAGCTGTGAAAGTACTACTTACATCCCAAATGAACTGACGGTGTCCCTAACAAGACTATAAGCCCAGGATCTACGTCTCCATATATGCGAAATACTTCAGAAGTAGAGTTACTAGATTGTTCTTATTAGATAATAAATAATAATAATAATTTTTCCTTCACGTTCCCCAGTGGAACATAGGGCCTCAAGCTAGTGGCTTGAAGTTTCTGTAGCAGCGTCCATTTTTTACAGGATGGAGTTGCTAGCTCCATGTCCAACCTTTCTTCTTTACCAGCATTATTTCTGGCTTATCGAGGTAAAGGAGTGCGTCGGCCGGACATCAAACCCCGGACCATGTGCATGGTCGGCGAGCGTCCTAACCGCTGTGCCACCAACGCACACTTCTTATTAGATGATTGAAGATAATCGTCAAGAAGCCTTGAACTCAAGGGCTATCTGTAACCTCGAAGCAACTCATGTCCTATCTGAGATTCGAGTTCGTATCACCCAGTGCTGCAGTCAGAGACGTTACCACTGAACTATTAGGGATCACAAGTCACCTCATGTAGGACTTTAGTGGATACTTCCACCGAACAATAGTTACTTACTACCTAGTATTGAATCAAAGAGGTACCAGGATACTAACCACTATAAATCCAATAAACATGCGTAATCATAATTATAATAGTAATAATAATAACAGGTGTAGAACGACCACCCTCAGTCACGCCTGATGCCTTACATATAAGCAAGCACACATATATACGATTGTGATTTCAATATAGGAAATGAGGGCTATTCAACATAATTTATTATAAATCAATGAAGACGAGGAAAACCTTAAGAAAATAACAAAGAAGATATAGTCATTCAGTAAAGTCTAAGAAAGGAAGAAATTGAACTTATAGAATACGAACTATTTTCTCAATTGTGAAAAGTACTGTACTGTATTGTAAAAATTAGAGTATCATTTCAAGCCCCGTTACCTGGAAAAGAGTTTTATGTAAGGGACTGTGAGATATATACTCATTTCTCGAAGGTTAATGATGCTATCTAGTCGCTCAAAGTTAAAAATTAAGCGGAAAAGGATTTCAATATGGGACTCAACTGATTGCAAGTGAAGCCAATGAATCACACATGCAATTTATTGTACACAAAAACGCCTCTGTATAATGTTTACATGCATTTACGAACTTTTATGACCCCACTGACAGAATATGCTTTCACATATGTTATATAAAACACACAAAGAAAACTAATTCATAATGATTCTTCTTACTGAGGTAGTCCCACCTCATCTATAATTTGTGAGTATTTCAGTAAGGTAATGATTGAAAAACGAAACGCAAATCAAGATCATAGTCTGGTGAGAGCTGGCTGAGAACAAGCCAAAATTGTAGACAACGGTTTACGTCAATGTTTACGTCCCGAATAAGGGACATGATGAAAACATTAACAAAGCTTAACCTTGAGAAAATCACCAGCCAATCACAGCGGAGTTCACGTGGGGAAATATGACTGACAGATGTATGGCTTGATTTTCTGAGAAACGGCCACAAAGAGATAACAGAATAACGTTTAGTGAGTGAACAACCACTCAGAAGACGTTTATTCTCCACTAACAATAATGTACATAAAAATCTATTAATACTTGTTGATATTCTCAATAAACGATCTGTTTCCTGGCCCTTGTCTTCTGTCGTTACAATAGCACAACTTAAATAAGTAGCCCTCAAGTTTTGTGGAGTGGTAATTTACTAGATGAGCTAGACATAACTCTGTTATTGACTGACTGACTGAATTCAACGTAGAACTTTACACAGATGTGCTGCAGTTCGAGTAGCCACACGCCCTATGTAGCACACAAAGCAAGGGAAAAGAGTAAAGAGATTCAAAAGAGAGAGACAATACACAGAAGTGTGAGGCAGAAAAATAGTAATATGGAGGGACAATAGAATTTTATTGGACATGATTGGCAAGTTACAAAGAGTGAATGAATCTGCGCCATTCAGAATGATTTTAAACCATATCGTTAATTGTCTTCAGTCTTCATTGGTATTTAGTATTCCGAAGACGCCAACCAACCAGGAAGTCTACATCTCCCTACGTGGCTGAAACTAACTGTTGTGAATTCCATTGACTGATGAAGCCATGTTTTGGTTTGACTACCACTAGTAGTAACGTTATTGATTAGGTTTCGCTACAATTCCAACGACCGAAGGCTGTTACCCAAATATCTCTTGACTGAAGTGTGCTTATGGCAATGTGTAAGCGGTTACTGTTTTCCGGACACTCATACCATGAAAGTTGATTTCTTCTTGGGCATAAGTTTTGCATGAATAATCGTAGAGCCCAATGAACATGTGACTGAGACAAGTCACACACACGCACAGGCCTGTTTGAAGTGCTCTTTTGAGTTACGTCTGCATTAAGGTTAGCATAGCTGACTTGCTGGTCACCTGAAGAAAACACGTTACTTCTGCTGTTATGCCCCGCCCCATATTATTCTCAAGCAGTACGACTCCACCCGCAAAACCCCTAACATAGTTTAAACAACACAGACACTATGATGACAACTGCTTTTAATCCTAACTGCTATCCATACAACTTTTTAGGCATGGAGTAGGGACCTTCAGGAACAACAGTTTCAGTCAGTGTGGTTCACTGGCTCATTGAGAAATGCAAACACGACCAGTGGGTGGGCTTGAGTATTTCAGATAGTCTATACAAAGTTTCATTATGCAATGTTACTCAGAAATTTAAAATGGGGTCCAAGTGAATAATAATAATAATAATAGTAATAATAATGGAAAGGGCCTACCTATTTCTCCACAAAATGAGTCTTTATCCACAATCACCAAATCAGTCAATTCAATTTCATCATAATTTTTGGCACGTGAAAAAATGAAGAGGCTACAATATTTTTTAGAAAAATAAAGCAAAATAATTACAAACAGTGAGTTACACACAGAAAGAAATAACAATAAACTTATATTTGCAGTGCATGTTTTAGTGTGACATGATTGCTAGATTGAAGTAAACAAAAACAGCACACCTGAAAATGACTGACATCAGAGTTTACAATTTACAGATTTGTCACACTTTAAATACAAAAATAACAAAAGAAAATAAGAAGAAAAAAAAACAAGTACTGTCCAGAAAAGTGTTTTTTTCGACGAATTCATTTTTCTTTATCAGTAAAATTGTATCATTTCATAGAACAAGACGTATAAGCAAACAATATTCATTACAGCAATTAAATCTTCTTCAGGCTTCACTCTAATTTGCATAGCTTTATATGTAAAAAAATTTAACTAATAACGAGCAGCTTGTGAATCAAATTACAATAATAATAAGTGATTTCATGGACCATTGGTTCGGGTTACAGTGGCTTAATGCTCTACGAGCCCGCCTTGTAACCGGGATATTCTGGGTTCGAACCCTGTGTGTGGGTGCGTGTTGATGAAGAGTCTCAAACTGTCCAGTATTCCCAGGTTCTCCAATGGTTTGCCAACTGTTTTCAGCTCATGATGAAATTTTGTGAATAACGTATATTTTCTATAGTTTGGTTTGTAAGAGTTAGTTATGTTTTTACGAGTTGATCACGGGTTGATATCAGTTAGAGAACCATTGAAAACCAGGGAGTACTGGACAGCTGCTGTTTCATCCTAGTTTGGGAATCATCAGCAGTACGCACCCACTGGGATTCGAACCCAGGACCTTCCAGTTACAAGGCAAGCTCATATACCATTCAGACACTGGAACCTGACCCGATTCAATGGCCAGGTCATGAATTCTAACTTCTACCAATTCGTAATTTAGCGCGACCCCAACCATTGTCATTGGTGGGACATCCATCCACACACGTGACATCTAATTGGACCTCACTGGTCCCGACTTCTCACTAGAACTCAGGAAACTCTAACCTGTAGCAAGTCACTAGCGAGCATCAGATTATTTTCTATAGTTTAGTTTGTAAGGGTTAGTTATGTTTTTACGGAAGGTCGTGGGTTCGAATCCCAGTGGGTGCGTACTGCCGATGATTCCCAAACTAGGATGAAACAGCAGCTGTCCAGTACTCCCTGGTTTTCAATGGTTCTCTAACTGATATCAACCCGTGATCAACTCGTAAAAAAAAGAATAACATATAATTGTTAAACGTTTCGCACGTCAGTAATAATGATGATTATGATGACAACAAATATAATGATAATAATGTTTATGAAGGCGGCAAAAAGAATAACGAAGGTAGTGATATGTGCACATGTAGACAATTCAATAAACAAATAAATTAGGTCAAATCTTAAAAGTTACTTTATACTAAAGGTGAAGTGGACAGATAATCAGAGTTTAAATAATAAATATCATAAAAGTACGAAGGAGATGGAAAATAAGAAAGGGTAGGAGGGTTTGAATAGAATTCATCTAGGCTAAGCAAGGGAGAGACAAAAGTAGAACAAACTTCTTTTGTTTGTTAAGACTAGGATTGTTCTCTCTCGAAATTCCCATAGTTTTGGCTATGCAAATTACAGTAAAGCCGGAATAAGATCTAACTGAAAACAATAATGTTCACTTATATATGTCTTGTTCAAATATTAACAATGGGAATATCTAAAGATTCGAAATCGCATTTATATAAAATTCCTTGTTTCACAAAAGAGAATGGTAAAAAAAGTGATAAACTGTTATAATCATAGTTCTCTATATCAATCAATACATTAGGGGAGTTTGAATAAAAGTGTTGGAGCTATATAATGAGATAAATACCCTAATGAATGAGGCCTAATCAGGATACAAACAGAAATGCGGATGCAATGTGATATTACATAAGAATTCGATAGACACAGAAGAGTTAGTAGTTAGAAAACGAATGAACAAAACCGGCAGAAAATAATGAGGTTGTTATTATGGCAGTAGAAGTAGTTGAATAATTCCCTTTTGTAGACAGAGCTCCAGTTTCTCTACATGAATGGTTAGAGCTTCAGCAATGCAATGGAGATGAAAGCGTATTGTCTTTGGAATGCTGTTCTTCACTTAGTAGATTACTTTGAAGAGGGAATTTATTAAAACAAAATGGTTAGTGTCAGTAAGGTGTTCAACAGTCGCACTCCGCATAGAACCACTGTTACCTTTCTACAACCATGAAGGATGGTGTTCTTGAACCCTTATAGACAGAACGACTAATATACCTGGCTCCAAAGGAACAAGTAAACTGATATATATGCATACAAGTGGTCGGATGCGATATCTTGTCTTTAAAGCTTCTGTGAACCAATGTACGACAGGAAAACACTACTCTTAGCGTTGCTACGAATAATGTCCTTCTTAAAAATATTGAAATTCCTCGCCTAAGCACATTGCAAGTTAGATATCCCTTGAAATCAAGGTTCATGCAAAGTCTTTTTTGTGGTGTGATGGTCATGTCAATAAATCTCATTGGATGAAGATTTATTTCAGAAGGTGTAATTCTTGCTCTAGAGGGTCAGAGATACAGATGCGACGGAAACAAGTGGTAAAAGATTCAACTAAATTTATTTTTTGTTCAACAAGCACCCAGCATATCTAGTATATCTTTGAAACCTATCAATAGTTGACCATTCTCGAGACTTACCAGTACAAAAGAAAAATGGCACGCGACATAATATCTCCGAATGGTAATTTCAATGATGCACACTGTCATTGTCTCTATTGTGGCTGTTAGACGTCATCTACCAAGAGAGGACATTTCTCCCTCACAAGGTTATGATACTTACCATCCCGTTAAGCAAGCTGAAGTAGGTGAGCCGGGATTAGAAACCTAGGCCTAATGCCTGAAAGTCGATAGCTTAAGCCAGTGAGCTATGTTCACACAAATTACCTGCTAGCCCATTGTGTACTGACAGATCAGGCGAACATTGCGATAATTGTTGTCCTCTGGGCTCTGTAACCATGCAATACTAATCCTTTTTCTGTTTCAGGCATTTCGTGAAAAAAAAGATCAACTTTCACGATGCTACTAATCGAGGAATAATAATCACCCTAAAATTTTCATTAGCACATGAAAGTATACAAGAAACTGATATAACATGTAAGTGAAAAAAAAGAAATAGACGAAGAATGACAAGAGATTAACTTTAACATAACAAAAGTCATGTTCCAGTGATCTAGACTGCATGCAGATTCGAAATCTTACTTGAATGATTTGCTTTATTTTCCACTGAAAGTTTATAGTTAAATTTTGATTTGGCTGACTTGTAAAAGTAGTATTATATATTGTGAAGTGAAAAATAATGCATACCGTAAGCTGACGACTTGTCAATTTATTAATTAAAATGCATTATACAACAACAAGCTGAACACAAATGAAATGAATGGAATGTTACTTGACATCCACTTGCATTTCTATGCAGTTGACAATAAACCAGGCCAGCTGTATGGAGAACTAGTAATATTATTTGGCTGTCAGAACCTTGATAGGTGGGTCGAGATTCGAACCCAGTGATCGAATGATTGGAAGTCAAGTATTTCGACAAGTGAGTTATAGAAACGGAATAACACATGTAAATTTATGCGATATGTCTAATATAAAAAGTCGACATAAAATTTTCTATACACAAATGCATCAGCTTAAGGCACTATACCTAGATATGACACACAAACAGAAAGGGTAGATTTCAAACATCTACCATGGATAAACATGTATGAGGAGAATAAATAAAATGAGGTCTCGCCAGGGACCACTCCACTAGACATGATTCAACTTGTCAAATAAGTGGTGAACATGTACAGCTATTTCACTCCATATTCATTAACTAAAAGCCGATGGAGACGAGCCTCGTAACATCGTCTTACACTTGACAGGGATGAATTTCTATGTCAAACACTTAAATTTTATCTTACTGTTCTAAAGACCCAATTTTTTAGCGTATTTACCCAAGTCTACCATATCACTTGCAATAAAATGGTATGCAACTGAAAACCAACTGTACAAAGCATGTTGCTAGGCTATCAAAATGAATTAGAATAAATATGTCCGAATTCCAGCTCAGTTGTATTTGAATGACCTAACAAAATACCTTATACTGTCAATCTAACTCGGAAGCCACTTGGAATGAAATACTATTCAATAACCACAGATGCTAGTAGGCTTGACAATGAGGAACACTTACTACCTGACTACCCAAACTACAGTAGTCCTGGCAGGGTTCGCATTCCAGGCCTGCCCTTTAAAAGTCGAACGCTTAGTCCGTTACACTACTGCAGCGTCGCAATCATGTACAGAATTAAGCGGCAAGATACATTAGTGAAACCACCTATCTAGGTAAAACACTATTCTAACGCACTTTATTTTGCGTTTAGTTGATTGCAATTCCCTTCATTCTAGCCGACAACAAGTAACATACTCTATGTATAAAATCAATTATGTATAAAAACAAGAAGTTAAAAAAACCTACGCGCTTTGATTTGAAGAACTATTTTGCACAAGGGAAATTATAATGCCATATCGTGTTTGGTCATGAATAAAAGTTGCTGGAAATGCCTAGAAGAAATCAATCAAGTTAAAGAGAGAAACGATTCAATGATCTTGACACGTTATACTTCATTCCTACAGGTTACAGTAACGAAATCACAAAAAATACCATAGCCCTTAGGTTAAGAATACGTTCTTTTATTTCAATGTACATTTACCAGAAAATATTTTCTGGAAAACAACGTTAATTATCTAAATCCTACTATTAATGATAAAGTAAAGCACACGTAAGCGATGGTTGCTTCTGAAACAGCAAAGAACACATTTTGTGATGAAAGGTTTCCATCATTCATCTGTTTTCTTTTCCTCCCATAATTCTTTTTATCTACCCTAACATCCTTCTGTTTCTGTCCATCCTCTGCTTTGTAGGTCAACTAAACCCAGAGTAAGTTACACTAAAGCAATTACACATAAATTTCTTCGTTGGTTCGTTATTTTCAACTTGTATTGTTACCAAGTAACGTATTACGTCATCGATCATTGCTGAATCACAAGTATCATCGGTTAACAGATGATGGCTGGTGACTTTATCTCCCTATTGCAATCTTATTAGTATTTCAATAAGACACGCCCAAGGTAAATGACCTGGCACGGTCGAGGGTGGATTGATTATTGTTTTCTTCTCTAAATGCTTTCATGTGACCACGCAATTATAGTGTCTCTCAAGTAATTCTTACCCATCACCTACATGCAATAGAGGATGTTTCCACAAATATCCTGCACTCATCACAAAATTGGTGAGCATCGAGGGTTCAACCTAGGTAGCTGGAAAACTAATCCCACACTTATGGTACATACAGGTTCCAGAACCAAAACGGAAATGTGTATAAACCTGTTATGGATACCCACAGCCAAGAGGAAACAACTGATGTTGCTAAGCTACCTTGTAAATCAGACTACATCAAAGCCTCAGGCATTGATTCCTGTGGTCAGGAATCTACTTCGGTCTGGACGTCTAGGCAGTATCTCAGCCCTCACATGAAATACAGAACAATTAATTCTAAAGCTCAATTCGTCTCTACGTCCTTGCAAACTAGTGCTCCTGTTACTTCATCGATCTCATATTAAAACATTGAATTCAATATTATTACATTACTATTATTATTCTTGTACAGAAACTGTATTGTTTTATTTTTATCATCGTTGCGTTTATCAGCATATATTTATTTTCATCAACTGTTCGTTATTTTTTGGAATCTTAATCCATCTGCGCAGTTCCGAGTAGCTAATAAGTTCCTTTCGCTGCGATATCTAATATGGCTATACTGATACCACTACCATGTATTGTCGACTACAATGTTTGCATATTGATACAAATCAGAAAGACGAATGTTTGGCCAGAAACCTGGAGTCTTGCTATTAATATAGGTTGCATCTGAAAGATGTGCATAAAATATCCTAATGAGGTGTTTAGAATTACTTCCTCATCTACCAGCTTAAACAGCGCTTATATAGAGATTCTGTAAAACCATCACCCGGCCTAGCTGGTATCAGTGTTCCCTAAGAGATGGTACCAATGTTGCACTAATCGACTCAACTCCCATTCATTATTTAAATACACATAGATAGCCTAGGTTATATTAGAGTAGGGAGCAACCGGTCAGAAATAGTACTGCATTTGAATTATCTATGCCTGCACACCGAAAGATTACCTCATTACCTCAATGTCTTGTGGCGTCCTCTATCTGCTATCCAAGGCTAAATTCAAATATACCACATCGCTGACAACTAACGCTAGCGTGAATGCATACAGAGCTATCATTGATTTGAGCAATTATCTGGATTGTGATTATACTTTAGTATGTTCCAGATCGGTCAAAAATGTAGTCTTACACTAGCTGACATAAGCAAACTGGCTGCACCAGATACCGCAGCCAAATATCAAACCGGACTAGATTCAAGACTAACTACTAACTCTCCAGAGAATATAAATGAACATAGTTGCACTTACAAGATGCCGTGAAGATGAGGAATAAAGACACTTGCGGTTTAAAACACTCCTACAAAGGCCGCTAGGCTCACACGAGCATTCTGTATACTCTAGACGCCCACCAGTCAATTCAGGGTGAGAAACTTAGTGTCTGATCAGTGTGAAATAAAGTTAACATTTTAAGCTGGCCTCCATAATGTGTATAACAATAATTCATATGCTAGTCTTTTACATGCTGCGTCTAGAATATCGGCCAATGTACTGTTCTAAAATCTGCTTAAAACGTGAAAGAAATTGACCCACTTCCTTTTCCTACCTGGGAAGCATCGTTTCAACAGGCGGAACTGACGAGTATATCAAAGCAAGGATCGGGAAAGCAAGACAAGCTTTCATTACTCTCAAGTCTGTGTGGAGGCCAACAGCAATCCTTGCCACGAAAAATAAGATCCTGATTTTCAACTCCAATGTGAAGTCAGTGCTACTTACTACACTGATCAGAGTCTTGGAGCGTGATGAAGAGCACTTCAAACAAACTACAGACCTTCATCAACAGCTGCCTCCGTTCAATACTACTCAAGATCAGATGGTTAGAAAAGATCAGCAACAGGGATCTCTGGGAGCAAACCAACCAGGAACCGATTGTGCAACAAATAGGCAGGAAGAAATGCAGGTGGAGTGGCCATACTCTGAGAAAACAAACCGTCAAGTGACATCACATGACAAGCCATCGCTCGTGTGGGCCCCGAATGGGAAGCGGTGAGTTGGTCGTCCAAGGGTGCTTGGAGGGGGTCATGTGAAGAGATGAGAGCATGTGGGCAGACTTGGAGCCATGTGAAAACTTTAGCAGAGAACCGAACGCAATGGAAACGTGGAGCTCAAGCCCTATGTTCCTCTGGGAATTAAAGGAAATAATAATAGTGTAGATGGAGTTCCATTTACATTGTGGACCCATCAATATAGCGTCCACCCACTATCAGTTGTTAGGACACTAAAACACATACTTGGCAACAAAGATTGTTTCATAATGTTAGGACTACTAAATGTAATAAGAAGAGCGATCAGACAATGATATGGCCCTGTGGGACAGAAGACGGTTGCATTGGGTTAGCGTCTGTTGGAGCATGACGACACCCTGGACTCAGTCCCAGAAATCATGCAGCTCTGGCTTGAAAAGTTATCAGATATAGCTCAGAAGAGAAGTGAGTAGCGTAGATGACGTAGTCCCCATTTAATTCTATTTCTGTAGGTAATTAAGCCTCTTTATGATTTTCTTAAGAAAAACATATTTGTCAATATTATTGACATATATGCTTGTTTTTCATTCTATTATCCCCTAAATATTTCACTTCACTCTGCCTATACTGCTGACTGATTGTTTTGTGTGGTACATCTCTTAACGCCCATAAAATAACGAATTTGTTTTGGAGGCGAAAACAAACATTACATATTCCCAGCTAGCGTTTTTTTCGGGCGCATTGCAGATTTTTCGGGGTAAAAACTTAGAGAAGATCTATTTACGTGAGACAGTGTCCCTAAGTCTGCCCCAAAAAATCTGCAATGCGCCCGAAAAAAATGCTAGCTGGGTTACAACAGCACGAAATACAGTTGCAACAGCAATTGGAACTCACTACTTCACAAGAATCTGAAGAAGCATCAACGTCCGTGCCATGAATACTCAAATAATTCCGAACGACATCTACACAATCTGTATCTGAGTTAAGTAAATCCATCTACACAACCATGCGTCGCCGTCTCATACCTACAGTACAGACAATGTCAGAAAACCCGCCAGACTAGAACGTCCTTCATTCAGTTCTCATTTTCAGATTTTCGATTCAATATGGGAGGCCTTGTGCTTATATTATTACTTTTCTGTTAACTGCTAGTGCCATTCTTTTCCATTCTCTGTCTAGTCAGTTGGAGGACCAAGTGCTACTTCTTCTGGGAGTCCATTTCAAGAGTTAATTACTTGGTTAGCTAACCAGTACTCAATTCAGGTTTCAGATTTTCTCATTTTGTTGATCGAAGATAGGAGGCTAGAAGTCCATGTTGGCCTTTTTCTATTAAATTTCTGTGCTGCTCTAAGCCCTCCATTAATGAGTCACTTGAGGTCGTTGACACCCCTTCTTTTGGGAGTCGGTTCTAGGAGTTTAAGACTCGGTGTAAGAACTGAAAATCTACAACAATGTTGTTTCTCCTTGACTTTTGAACTCTCCTTCTGTGTCCTCTAAGTTGCTTCAGCCTGGTGAGAAGAAAAAGAATAGATCAGATCCATAGTCATTATTTAAAATTTTAAACATTGCAGTTAGGTTTTTTTTTTGATTTACAGCTTGATTCCACACTGTATTTTTGGGACAAGTATGGAATTTTCAGCATGGATATCGGTAGCCCAAATTTTGCAGGCCGACGATAGATATCAGGTGTGCGCCGGCGTGGGCTCGAACCCCGGACCATGTGCATGGTCGGCGAGAGTCCTAACCACTGTGCCACCGACGCATCCTCTCTACTTACGGTATGAAGGAGGGAAGAGATTTAAATCGTCTGGTCTTTCCGCGTATAATACGTCACTCATCCTAGGAATCACATGTGTTTTCTTCCTTTGAACTCTTTCCAGAATATGCGTTCCATTCAAGACAAGGACTGGCCGTCTGGATACAATTTTTCAGTGTTCACCTCACCATAAATGCACAACAGGAGGAGAACCTATCTCAGGTGATTCTAGTAAAGGCTCAGAGAATAGTCCATGTGCAGCTACCACGCTACAGTGTGCTGCAGTTTTTAAATCGTGACTTAATAATAATAATTTTATATTTTCATATAAACATAAATGTACATGAAAATGCATGCCATTATTACAGGCACGATCAAGCATGGTGTAATCTCAAATCGTAGATTGTCTACAAGTTAATAATGTTTCAACAGTTAAATATTTGATATGTATATGTACATAAATACACAAAAAAAAACACCACGCGCGCGCTGTTTGAAAGGGAGTGCTTTTTTCACGTATTTCACGTTTTTGACAAATCGCTGTTTTGTTGTGTTATTCACTTCAAGAACATTTTTAAAAAAACTTTAACTTGACTTTTGTCTGTTAAGTTTTGATTTTAACCACTTATATAGTCTATATTGGGTAAATTGTCTTGGCTGTTTCCAGTAGAAGTTCATTATGTCAAAAGTACCACATAAATGTAATAGGGCGGAGTGTTACTTTTTGGTAGATGATGGAATACAGTGTAATAACTGTGAAAAGTGGTATCATAAGATGTGTACTGGATTACGTCCAGCTGCATACAAACGTTGTACTGCTCCAACATCCCACTGGATGTGCAGAATGTGTTGTTCCCCAAAGATGACCTTAATAAGGGAGGCTCACGAACTGCTGTCTAAAGCCATGGAACTTCCTGATGATAGCGTGGCTAGTAAGAGTGACACGGACTGCCCGTCTGAAGATGAAGCAGTAAGTGCCATCATGAATGTTATCACACCGGCGGTTACTATCCCAGTTACCCCGGAAGTAAAACCTACTAGGCGTTCGAAGCGTCTTAGTAAGCGAAAAGGTAACAAAACGGAAGCTGTAAACAGCATCTCAGAACCAGAGAACACCGTAAGCGAAGTTCACCATGAAGGTGGTGCAGACACTGATCTTGATTGTACCATCAAAAACTGCAGCAGCCCTGAGAAGCAACTGCAGGCAGATGATAAATGGGTAACAAAAATAAGCAGTCGGAAGAAATATAGTAATATTGATGGTAGGCAAACGTCTGTCACCTGTAGCCAGGCTGCATCAATAGTGGTGAGAAAGGACGTAGCCACTGCTAAATACGACAAGCTCTCCTTAGACTCTAACATAATTGTTGGAAATTTGGAAGAGTCCAAAGAATCTGATCCCGTGAAAAGGCACGATCACGACCTTAAATTAGTGAGTAGTATTATAAGGAAGATGCTCCCAGCGAATTTCCCTGGAGTATCGATTAAAAAGCTGATTAGAATAGGCAAAAGAGATGATGAATGTTCTAATCAGCGTAGGTTGCTTAAAGTAGTCTTAGGTTCTCCTGATGAACGGAATCATCTACTGGCTAATGTACACAACCTTGCCGGGTCAGGAATTTCAGCCAGACCTGATTTATCTCTTGAAGACAGACTTAAACGAAAAGAAGTTTTGTCCCAGCTAGAAACAAGACGTAAAAATGGTGAGACTAACCTTAAACTGGTGGGTTTTCAAATAGTCAGGTCTTGGAAACGTATGCTTCCAAGACCTGTGTGGATAAGCCAGACCGCATAGGAAGCCTGAAGGTAGTGTACACTAATATACGTAGTATCGGGAACAAATTTCACGAGCTAGGTGTATTAGTAGAAGACCTTAGCCCAGGTATTGTGGCCATTACTGAAACATGGCTGGTTTCTGGATTAGATGACACACCTGAGCTATGCGGATTTAGTTGCTTGCGCAGCGACAGGGTTAAGGGTCGTAGAGGTGGCGGGGTTGCTCTGTACATCAACAACTCCCTACATGTTCGTTCCGTGAAATCTGAAGCTCATGACAGTGGGACAGGTGAGGTAATTAGCTGTGAAGTAAGCTTTGCAACCGGCACTCTACTCATTGGAGTTCTGTATAGAAGTCCCTATTGTCAGTGTGATGACTTCATTTTAGATCACCTCAAACAATGGAGTAAACACAGTAGCTGTCTTATTCTAGGTGATTTTAATGCACCTCATATAGACTGGGTAGCTGTCACATCTCCAGGATCCGCTGATAAGTTTGACAGCCGGTTACTCTTGACAACCATGGAAAATGCCCTGACACAACATGTCTTAGGTAGTACAAGATTCGGTTCTACCCAAGGATCTTCCTTGCTGGACTTAGTGCTTACTCATGACAACGACGACGTGGATGGTCTAGTTATTCATCCACCTCTAGCAAACAGTGATCATGGGGTGTTAGATTTTAACTTAAGGGCTGGCAATTTAGTCAGTTTTCAACCCAAATCCCGGCCTAGTGTTTGGCATGCTGACATAGTGGCTATAAAGGAGCGTGCTTCAACTGCCGACTGGTCAGTCAACATTGTCTCATCCATTGAAGATGAATGGGATAGATTTAAGAATACACTTGAGAGGGTTACCACTGATCTCATCCCCTGGAGGGTTCCTAAAAGGCCAACAAATCGGCCACCATGGATAAATAGACAAGCTATAACACTGTGCGTCCTTTATTTGATCACTGTTCATTCATGTATAGTAGTATACGCATAGAGGACAAATTGAAAGTCGAGGGAGTGCAGAGGTACTTCACGTCAAAATTACTCGGAACCGAAAATGGTGCGAACTACTCCACTAGATGTGACATCCTAGGATTAGAAACACTATGGCTAAGACGCCTGAGACTAAACTTAACACTTTACTATAAGCTTCTAAACCACTTAGTTTTTACCTCTACTAATGGCATTCGACTTTCAGATGACAGTGTCTACAAACTAAGACACACTAAGGGTACAGTAGCTATTGAACAATGTAAAACAGCTACCAGGCAAAAGTTTTATTTGATTAGGTATGCACAGATATGGAATAAACTACCAATGGAAATGCGTCAAGCAGGTACATTGGCTTCCTTCAAAAAAGTGCTTAACGACAAACTACACGAGTCTACAAACGACAGTAGTCTTAGTTCCTATCTGAGAGCCTCCGAAATTATAGGTCCATTTAATGTATAAGTTCAAATACTACACCTGCTGTTTTTGCCTATATTTATAATTTTAGATAAAACATTAACGATTAAGATACTTACCCTCAAACAGACAAGAAGTTTCGTTTGTAAAACTTCTACCCAACACAATAAGTGGAATAAAATGGACATAAACTGACAACATGAAAAAGGTTATAACTCACCACAACATCACATGGACAGATGTACGCTCGTCGGACATCATATATGCATCACTAACTACAACCCAACATTCCTGAGATAATGTGATGAACTTATATCCATAATGTTGCTGAGCAGTCAATATCCACAACTCCTGTCGGAACAACTAAAATTCAAAAACCTTCCTCACGAGAAGTAAATACCCACAAGCAGTAGAAATCCATTATCTAATGCGTCTAAAGCTTATGTATTTTACTCCCAAAAATGACAGTGCAGATCAAATGAGATAAGCAAATCACTGATTTCCAAATAACACATCAATGAACTATAATTCAAGGATTCTGCACACAACAAAGTATTGTACGAAAATTGACTTCAAGCTTTATTTTTTTTCCCAGGCACTTATAACCCATCCGCCAAAGACCTGGTTTTTTTGTTAATGCGAAGACGATACTTCTGTATTTCCTGATGTGTTGCACTCACTGACAATCTAGCGGATTTTTCCAACTATGCACAGAAATGATTGTACATAAGTGAAAAGGATGTTTTATACTATTCGGATTAACATTTATCAAGTGTACGTATTATCTCCAGTGTACATGTTAAACATATTTTGCTATCCATATTAGTTTGATTATTAAATGTATCACACAGTGAATCAGTATTGTATACTGGATGACGTTTCGAACACAATTTATTGTTCATAATCATATCAATTTTGATTGATTGATTGATATGATTATGAACAATAAATTGTGTTCGAAACGTCATCCAGTATACAATACTGATTCACTGTGTGATACATTTAATAATCAAACTAATATGGAATTACTTAATACCACAGTGCCCAAGTTTTACACATATATT